GTTTGGTTTCAAAGACAAGGAACCATCTTACTCTCTTGTGTGTTTGCTGGAGAGGTGTGGCTCAAAGTTCTTCACATGTTGAAGCTCCCAGCTGCCATATTCTCCAGATGGTCTGATCTAGTTGCTTGGACACAAAGAAGGTTGCCTTCATCGCCATCGCTACTAAGGAAGTTGCTCACGCAAGCGCCCGTTTACACCATATGAAAACAGCGCAACAACCTCCTGCATAACCTGCATTTCAAACCACCGGATGCTATCTTCTTTGAAATCGACTGGCTCATCATCAACGCACGTAGGAAAAGAAAGAAATTCATCAACCTAATGAAAGAGAGGTTTATTGGAGCATCAGAATACGAGCTAATGGAACACATGCGGAGCTATTCCGACACGCATAATAAAGTGAAATTGGGTTCTTATTGAATTAGAAAGCCCATTTATGAGAGAGGTTAAACACATAACATGAAATGTGAGAGTTTCGTGGTGGTAGTATAAAAGAGGAGAGGCGTTGACAAAAAGAGTGACGCACCTAGGGTTTCTTTGTGAGATGTACACTTATGTGTGACCAGTGCCGTGCCTAGCGTTTCGGGGGCCCTAGGCGATATAATAAAAATGTGTCTCGTATTAAAACATAACATTTTATCATCTAAAATATGAACTTTTTATAAAAAATATATATTCAATATAGCCGAAAGTTATTCTTTGATAGTTTTACGTGATATATATATAGATTTATAAATCTATTTATTTTTATTTTGTATGTGAGAACAAAATAATTTATTGGATCAAACATAAAATATTAAATATTTGATATTAAAACAATAGCAAACAATAATGTGCCTATATTCATCAACTCTGTTAATTAGTATATCTTAATTGTAACTATAAAGTTAGACACATATATAATCTGCAAAAACAAAACATCAAATGATTTTAAAAAAATAAAAAAATGAAACGGAAAACTTATAATGATTTGATTATTTAAAATATGAAATTATGATATGATGCTAATTAACCCAAATCAATTTATAGAATATCATTATCAAAAAACAAAACTAAAATGAAAGACATATACAAAATTTATCAATTTAATTGGGCTCTAAAATTATTGATGCCAAGTGGGGACCTTAGGCAATTGCCTATTTTTTCATGCCTAACGCACGGCCCTGTGTGTGACATCGTCCCATCATACATGATTTGTAAATCTGTTGATGGTAGTGTCTATGAAGATTACAACCGTTGAGAAGATGGTGATGCACCGGTGGTGCTGCTGGTTGGTAGTCAAGCATGCGTGCTTGATACATGTCTTCATAATTTGTCCATGTAGAAAAGAGTGGTGGATGCCATATAGCAATTGTAGGTTGTGGTCTTTTCTAATGTATTAGGTCTCGGCGATGTAGAAAAACCGAACCTCGTAAAAAAACTCTATGTGTTTTTTAGTTTATGTTCATACATGTTACAAACACAAATATAGAGCTCTAGCCACACTCCGCTTTTTCATCTAATGAGACTTTGGCTTCAATTATTTTCATTGGTTGTGTTGTATTTCAATTATGCTTGCATGTTTTTATTTTTTTGTCAAGAAATCAAATCTATAGGTTATCTCTATATAAATCCTAAACATTTTTGTTGTTAATGAATATTTACCTTTTGAGCAATAGCAATAAAGATAAAAATGCCATTTATGGAAAACAAAACTAATATTCCCTCTGTTTTTTATATAAGTTATTTTAGACCATTAATTTTGTTTCACTATATATGGTGTTTTC